AGCCCCCCGGGCCGTGACTAAAGTGTCATCCGCGTAGCAGATTACACCCAGCCCAGGGGGGAGACGCCCTCGTAGGGCCCAGTCGTACCCGATGTTCCACAGGAGAGGTCCTAGGACAGACCCCTGCGGAACACCGCACGACATGGCCCTGCGTCTCAAGACGCCATCTCGGTCCTCGTACATGACGGTTCGCTCCTCAAGATAGTCTGCCACCAGCCGCCTCAGGTACTCCGGCACTCCGTGGTAGCGGAGCGCTTCCCTGATGCAGCTGAATGGCAGACTATTGAAGGCGTTGGCGATGTCCAAGGACACCGCCAACACCACTCCGCCGCAGCTCACGGCCTCCTCGGTCACGGCCCTAAGGCGCATCACGGCATCGATCGTCGAACGCCCCTCTCGGAAACCGAATTGGGCGTCTGACAGATCGGGGCCAACCTCGCAAAGGTGCCGGACGATGCGGGCAGAGAGCACCCTCTCAAAAAGTTTACCCGCCTCGTCCAGCAACACGATAGGCCTATAGGCCGCGACCGATTCGGCAGGCCGTCCCGGCTTCTGCAGCAGGACCAGCTTCCCGCATTTCCAGCGCTCAGGGAAGCGTCTGGACGCCAGGCTAGCGTTCAACACTTCCCTGAGGTGGTCCGACATGTAGTCGAGGGCTCGGGCCATCACTCGGGCTGGAACCCCGTCCGGCCCGGGGGCAGTGTTCTTGGATCTAATCCGTAGAACAGCCGCCCCCAACTCCGATTCCCTGACGGGCGGAACATCAGCCTCGCTGCCTCCGTCGTCTCCGGCTGATGCAGCCATCGACGGGGGTGTGTGCTCCGCCCGCTGCGGGAATAGGCCCTCGACCACTTCCTGCAGGAAGCTGGGCTGGAGAGTCTCCGTAAGGGGGGGGGCCCGACGTGCGGAGCTTTTGACGCACCGCACGATAAGGGCGACCCCAGGGGTCACGCTCGAGACTCTCCAGCATCTCCTCTCTACATGCATTCTTGGCGCGGCAGATGGCCAGCCTCAGAGTTTTCCGAGCTTCTCGGTACTCCTCATGAAGCCGGTCCACCTCCTCACCGACCCCGCGGTGACGTCGCCGACTACGGGTGAGGGACCTCCGGGCACGTACACAGGCCGCACGGAGGTCCGCCAACTCCTGGGACCACCAGTAGACCTCCTTCCTTGGAGGCCGACAACCACGAACGCGGGGCATGGCCGCATCGCAAATCTGCGTAATCGCATTGCAGAAGCGACCAGCCCCCATGTCGACCTCCTCGGTCGGGGCCTGCGAAGACAGCCAAGAGTAAATAATGGCCGCCTCCTCTAGTAGGTCCCTGTCGAGCTTGGCGATAGCCCACCGCGGGAAGCGGGAAGGGCGCCGCGCCGCGTGACCCCTAATGGGGTCCTGGGACCGGGAGAGCTCGAATCGGATGTACAAATGATCCGAGAGCGTCTCGACCTCTTCCAGGACACACCAGTTCCTTACTCGTGCGGCGACTGCAGGGGTAGCGAACGAAAGGTCCACTATCGACCCCCCCTGCTGTCGCACGCACGTGTTGGTGGAGCCCCTGTTCAGCAAACAGAGGCCCACTGACGCCGCCCACTCCTCGACGGCTTCGCCCCTGGCGTCCGTCGCAGGGGAACCCCACGCAATGGACTTTGCGTTGAAGTCCCCCAGCACGAGGACGTGCCCAGACACTAGTCGCCGCATCGAGGCCTCCAAGTTGTTAAGGAAGACCTCGAAGTCGTTCAAGCTCCGGTTGGGGGAGAAATATACACCATAAATGGTGATTCCCCCCCAATCGGCGGCAACATATCCAGTACCCTTGTCTCTTAGCGACAAGGGCGGGGAATGAGCCGCCGTGGAGCCGACGACTGCCACGGAGCCGTCCCGGTCACCCATCCAGTTTGGACGGGGAGGGACAAAATAGGGCTCCTCGACTACGGCAACACCTATAGACCACTGTGCCATGGTTTGCAGGAAGAGATCCTGCGCCGCAGCACAGTGGTTCAGATTCGTCTGGACCAGGAGGTTGGAGACTTGATCCATTACTGGATCGTCTCTACAACCTCCTCCATGGGCGGGCAGGCTAGACCCCGGCGTTTGCCGAGAAGCGCGGGGAGGCTTGCAGCCCCCCTGCCCCATCTGGTGATTGGCGGGCTTTTTACCCGCCTCACACACCGGGCAGTGGGGGGCGGCAGAGCACTCTGCCGCCTTGTGCCCGGGTTGACCGCAGCGGAAGCATAAACCGCTGCAGTCAAAGCAACTCTCGCACTTGGTGCGAGTGTGTCCCGCGGCTAGGCACTTGAAGCACCTCATCGGCCTCGCGGCCAGAACCGTGATTCTGGCATTTACGAAGCCGACGAGAATGCTTCCGGCGTCGCCCAGTGCTTTGGCCGACGCCACGGGACAGCTCACCCACACCGCACCGAGGCCTCCCGGGCCCGGACGGACGGTGCCGACTCTGATGGTGTCCGCGGTGCACCCAGTCTTCTCCATGACTGCATCGCGGACATCCTCCGACGTGATGGAGTCGTCCAGGCCCGAGATGCGCAGTTCTGCGCATTTGGTGGGCCTGGCGATCTTAACACCGTCCGTGGCGGCGAAAATTCCCCGCAACTTCTCGGCGAATTTGTCGGCCGTCGCCGCGCCTTCAGCCCCAGGGAACTCGAAGACCCGAGCTCCCGTCTGGGCGCGGCGCAGCCTCATCCCCGCCTCCCCGAACTCAGTGGCGAGACCGGGCCGGGCCCCCTTGAAGAGGGCCGCATACGTGAGCCCGCCACTGGCCGCCTCCGGCGACAGCGTCACGACTACAGCCGCGGTTTTGGGCGGCTGCAGCTTCCGCGGCCTCTTTTTTGAGGCCGTTGCCACCGGTGGCGAAGGCTGGGCTTGGGCTGCTTTCTGAGCCGCCCTTCTAGCCCGCCTTCGGGACTTCTTTGAGCCCCTCGCCTCCTGCCATCCCTCGTTGCAGGGGGCAGGTGCGGAGGGGCCCGGCAGGGATGTCGGAGCGGGGAGCGGAGGGAAAGCCACTCCGCTCCTCTTCGCCGCTTTAGTCTGGGCCGGTGCCTGGGCCGGCGCCTTGGCCGGTGCCTGGGCCGGCGCCTTGGCCGGTGCCTGGGCCGGCGCCTTGGCTGGCGCCCGGGCCGGTGCCTTGGCCCCCTTCCTCGGCCCCTGGGGAGCCGGTGGAGTCGGGGCCGACGCCGCCGCCGCCGCGTAGGACACGCGGCCTCCCACTACGGGGAGCACAGTCGGAGCCGCGGCGCCAAGCCGCTGCGACGACGCGAGCGGGGGGCGCACGACCGGCGCAGGAGGCAGTCTCGCCTCCAGACCGGCCAGACGGCCGTCCAGCATACGCCCAACTGCGTCGAGAATTGACCGCAGTTGGGCGAAACTTGACACAAACCCTATACCAACCCGTCTGGCCAGCGTGGTATAGTAGGCCAAATCCTCCTTTCTAAGGAGAGGCTTATGTCCAGCAGTGGACTGTTAAAGGCTGTTGATATGAATAGAAAGGTTAACCGCCAGACCCCGTGCGTGCAACGGAACGCTCGAGCGTGGAGAGAAGGCTCATGATGAGCGACATAACCACAGATTACCCCCTTAGGGGTTAACGTTTTGCATAACCCCCTTAGAGGGTAATTTGTGGATTAGTGTGGATACAACCAAACTGGCAGACACATATCGTCGCTGCGCCTACAAAAATCGCTATGTGTTTTTTATCTACTTTTCAGGAGACACGAAAACGGGTTTACTCGGAATCCATTAGAGATAGATAAATGTTTTTTTTACGGAAATTTTGTTAACAAATTTACGTTATTTTAGATTATTTCTGAAAAGATAGCAAGAAAAGTAGCCTGAATAAAAATTATTTACTTATAAATTTGTCACATAGTGTTATTTTTTTGGGTCTGAAATATTCGATATGTACCTCAATGACTCATAGCTATTTTAAAAACGACAAATTTCATACAAATAATGCACTCAGGGCTACATAGCCATTTTATTCATATTAATATTGTAAGCAAAGTAAGTCTGTCTGTCTGTCTGCCTATCTGTTTGTCTGCCTGTCAGTCTGCCTGTCTGTGTGACTGCCTTATTTGCTTTCACGGCTAAACTGCTAAACTGATTTCAATAAAATTTGGACTCGATCTTTTTCAGAGTGTGGGAATGAACGTAGAATAATTTTCATCTCGTACAATTGCAGTTTATGAAGGAATACGCAGACGTTGTCACGGGCAGATTTATATTTAAAATTTTATTAATTTTGTTGCACAAAAATCCGCTTTTGACCTTATTGTGTCTCTTTGCCAATGTTGTTTTATATTTTACTGGAGGACAAACTTTGATGGTTCTTCTTCTCCCGCTGTTTATACTGGGGTTGTACGTTAATGTAGCATGTATTTTAACAACTGTTTAGGGCACTGAAGGACGCTTTGCATATCCATAGACACAACAAGCACCTCTTCAGATATTTGTTGGATAGCCTCGGCTTTTGCTGCTCGAGCCTCATCTTTTTTTATGATATGCAGCTCATAAACAGCATCTGTAACATTTCCTTGTTTATAGAAAACGCATAAGTCACATTGATCCTTGCGTGGCTTGAAAATAGAGACCTTTTGTTCATTTAATACTTCTTGAAACCTCTTCCTTTTCACTGCGTACATTTCGTTTGTCTGGCACCAAGAAGTATACACAGAGTGCATGTGGCTAACAGATTCAAAAGATTCTTCGATGTATATCCTGGTGCTATTTGCTCGGCAGTAATGTCTCGGTATTTTCGGTATTTAGTCCAACCACTTCATAACAGAATCAGATTTAACCGTTTTGGTTGCAGTGTCAGACCTATGCGGGGTTTTATCGATTCTTCGGACATTATTACTTTGTCCATTCTCTGTATTTATATCATAATTAGACCGTATCTATAGCTGTAACGTGTCCTTTTTAAATCGAACGTAGCAAGAAACATTCGTCAATAAACGCGTATCTTAACAAGATTAATGGCGGGCAAATATCAGTCAAATCCATGAGACTTTTTATGTACACCTACAGAGGTTTTTCGTCGTCGTAATATATTTCGCACTTGAGTCAATCCATTAATATATGATTTTTTCGCATCCCACGACGGCAATTGCCAAAAATATTTAAATATATCTTGTCGCATTTCATCACTTATGGCAGAACAACAATAGCTTCTATCAGACTTTAAAACTGCTTCATGGTCACATGGCTTGTCTCTCATCCTTCTTCTTGCCTTTGAAACTTCTTCTAATTTAGTATTTTGATCAAGTTTAACAACCTTATGTCCCGTGTAATTCTTTCCTAACATCCTGTTCTCCTGATTTCTCTTTCTCTTTCTGCTTTCGCTTATAAAACCCTCTTCTTCTGAGATGTTATCAGAAATATATGCTTGTTCGATGATGGATTCAAAACAACCAGTTTGTTCATTTAACCATTGCATTTCGTGATTGGAACTTGGGATGGGCTTATTGGCTGACTCTGAATCGTTACGAATATCCGAGCAAGGATGAGACATCGTTATATCAGCTATTGTTGAGGTAAGAGTTTGAGTTGTGCTGGTGATAACTGAAGTAGTTTCATCTCTCCCTATTAAGTTACCTAGTTCCGTAATAACGGTTCCGGTACCAGTGTCCTCTATCTGAGTATACTCAAAAACTTGTTGAGGAGTTAGTCGACGAAAATAATACAGAAGATTCTTCTTCTAATTCTGTAGCCAACTGGCTTATCGTTTGTCGATCTTCCAAGCATAATGACACGAGTTGTTTGCTTCTCCAAAATCTTGACATTTTTAGTCAATTCTGTAAGCGCAAGACAAAAAAGCGTTAACTAGTTACATTCCTAAGCCATACTTACTTTAAATGCTTGTGCATACGGATTTCAGTTAGTCACGTGATGCTGTGATTTTGTACCAGCTTGCGATATCACACTATGAAAATAAATTAGAGATAGGAATGAGAAAATCGCACCCAACAGCTCGCCTTATAGCTAATATTTAAAAAGGCAATCAAAACTTTAATGGATATTAATTGATGAATCGATTATGAATCGATTATCGAAATCAAGCAGTATTTTTTTTTTAATTAAATAGGTCTAAACTGTCTAAAGGATAAAAAATATGTAGTTCAATATAGGTACTTACATTTAGGTAATGATTTTTTACACTTTAGAAAACACAAGTAACTTTTGAGACCCCTAGTAATTATAATCACCTTTAAATGCACAGAGTTTACCAAACGCTCTTACTTCATTAACAAAATAATCTATGTGACGGTTGACAGGCGCATTTCATGAAGGCACAGGTCGAGACTTGAAACAAAAAATTCGCTATGTGTCAACAAACACATAGATGGCGCAATTTGTAAAGATTGTACGCGATTTATCTTGAACTAAATTTAGCTATGTGCGGGTAAACACATGTCGGGCGCAATTGATAGATTCTCGTTGCAATAAACCAAAATTAGTTATGTGATTTATGACACAAGGCGGTTTTAAACGAACATTGAATATATGAACATCACATGGCTACTTTTGGTAACTCCGTCAATATTGAAGTTAGCACTTAACTGTTTTTGCAGTGCGTACGTATCGAAATAAGGATTAAAATGGCATTAAAACTCAAAAAAAAAACACATAGCGATTTTTGTAGGCGCAGCGACGATATGGGCAAACATCGTTGACGGTCGTCTCAAGTGCAAATACATTTTTGATGCCAAATAGTGTTGTAAATGCGATCTTTGTACCTTCATAAAAGTATTTAGGTATTTCATGACAGTAGCGTTTTGTTATTAAAACAATCCTGTATAAATTACTAAGTAATGTTTTTGTTATTTTTGAACTTGGCACCGACTTCAAACACATCAGTAGGTTAGACACCTATTATATATTTTCTTTAAATTAATAGATAACGAGTTTGGACAAATTGTCACATTGTATTGGTGTAAATAGATAATTATAAATTGTAATTGGGTCTTAAATAGTTTATCGTAGGTATAGTAATTAACTTCACTATTTATAGATTAGTGAGTATTTAGTTTAGTTGATTTTTGTACTGGAATAGTAACATTAATTTGATTTAAAGGCAATCGTATTTAAAAACGAATTATTTTTAGGTTTTTAGATCCTGGGTGTTTTTTGAAGACGCTTTTTTTTAATTAAAAAATAATTTATTTTTTGCTTTTTAGTGGTGTTTTATAAAATAGTTATAAATAGTTGGGCGAGTGGGGCGTTCGACGATCGACGCTGTGTTGCGCCTCAGGTCCGTGACCGACTCAGAGGATATTGGCTCAATTATGTACAAAGTAAATAAAATTGTTGACATTTTTAAAGTTACGTTTCGTTGGTGCAGCGGGTTTCGTTTGAAAACGCATGAAAGTATTGTCTGTGCTATATTGTATTCATACGACCAGTACTGTCTTTTCTTTTTTAAACATTTTGTGTTTTTGTAGTATGTTTGTTTAATCTTATTACCTGTGGTGTTAGCTGGTGGGTGGTGCAGAGGATTATGTTCGCGCCAATAGAGAGGTTTTGGAATATATTATACGTACTAATAATTTGATTTATACATTTATTTTTATAGCAATATTTATATTATATTTATTTTTAACTATATAGATAACTTGTAAAAATTATTCTGATAATACCGCTTATGAGTCTGCTGTATCCTCTGACGACGACAGTTTCGTTTCCACTTCCTATCCTCTCACAGGCTATATTCTTGTTCGTAATGATCGAGTCGGCAGGAGAGGTGGCGGAGTTGCCATTTACATTCACTGTTCTCTTTCTTTCAAAATTTTGTCTTCTTCTCCTCCCTCGTCTGCTGCCGCTGAATCTTTAGGGTCCGAATATGCTTATCACGTCATCATGGGAGATTTTAATACAGATCTAATTCACCATACCTCTCGTTCCTGTAAACTCCGTCAGAGTGTAGAGTCTGCCGGCTTGCAGATCTTGTCCCTACAACCAACTCATCACAACAGCCTAGGGGAAGACACCTGGTTGGATTTAATAATAACATCGGACCCAACACTTGTCCGTAATAAGATAAGTTAGGTGGATTTGTTCAAAGATAGTAGTTTCCTGGATACCAAGAAGACTGTAGTTCTGTAGACCCGTTAGTCTTCAGTTTTAAAGTTTCTTCGTTACTCGTCTTGTCAGGGAGCTCCGTAGAGAACTAAAGCTTATGATGCTCAGTAAATCTGTGCCCTCGTGATGACTCGACTCTCAATCTGTACTGGTGAGACCCGCTTGTGGGAGGACTGCTAAACCAATTCGCTATCACACTTTATAATACACAAGATCACTCAGCATCCGGCTCGAAGGACCATTTAATGTACAGTGTCGTGAACCGTACACTACTATTAGTTTGTAAGTTTAGGTGTGAGTGTGCTGGTGAGAGGAAACTCTTCACGTAGTAATTTAAAGTCACAAGTTACGTAAAATGATATAAAGTGATTCTTACAACGGAGTGAACGAAGTTAAAGTGCACACTGAGTCAAATTAATTATTACGACGGACGGAAAGCAATCGACCGTTTTGCGTAATCAGCTAAATAATATTTTTGCCTAAGTGTACGTAAACCGTACATGTATGCACATTGTACCTAAATGTTTTATAATTTTAATGTAATTTTGTAAATTGGATATCGAACAATGGACCAAACTAAATATTATATTATTGTACAAAAACGGTAATCCAAACGACATTGGAATTTACCGTCGCATCAGCCTACTTCCGAGTCTCTACAAACTTTTCTCACAATGTATTTTAAGCAAAATATCTACAAAAAGGTAGAGGATTCACTACCGCCGACCATATTCAAACATTGGAAAGCTTAATAGAGAAATACAAAGAATCCCAAAGACCTCTCTACTTAGCCTTTATTGACTACCAGAAGGCATTCGACTCTATTTCACACAACTTAATATGGGAGGCTTAAAAGGCGAACAACATAGATGACACTTACTGTAATATAATAAAACACATTGACGAGAGCCGTACAAATAGAATCAGCCTGGAAACAAGTGGTCCTAAAATAAAGATCAATCATCAAGCCAATCAAGGCATAAAACAAGGTGCTCCATTATCTCCTAAGCTCTTTATTGCCGTATTAGAGACGATTTTTAAGAAACTTGACTGGCAGAATGGGTATTTTAGTAAATAATGAATATCTTAGCCATTTGCGCTTCGCCGACGACATAATCTTATTTTCAGAATCAATTTTACAGAAGAAAATATGATACAATATCCACAGACAGAAAGCGCACGCGTGGGACTAGAAATGAATCTGCAAAAAACTAAATTGAAGACCAACTCTTAAAAATCACCAATAAAGATAGGAAGCAAAATCATAGAATATGTAGATACTTAGATAGATTACTTAGATAAGGAAGTCTTCTTTCACTAACATCATCATCATCATCAACAGCCTTTAATAGTCCACTGCTGGACATAAGCTTCTCCTTAGAAAGGAGGTTTTGGCCTACTATACCACGCTGGCCAGACGGGTTGGTATAGGGTTAGTGTCAAGTTTTCCTTCTCTCTGCAGTGTTGTTGTTCTGCGTAGTTTTTTCCCTTAGTTGACTCTTACAACACCCACGGGATGAATAGGGGTGGTGACAATCTGTATTCTTAATCCGTCACCACACGGACTAACACTTCACTAACACTTAGAAGAAATTACCAGAAGGATAAAAATATCATGGCAAAAATACTGGGCTGACAGAGAAATAATAAAAGGAGACATGCCACTTTCAGTAAAAAGAATGTATCCGATAGTCCTCCCCTGTCTAACATGTGGATCACAAACCTAGACATACACAAAACAGGCGAAAGAAAAAAATAGAATATGCCAAGCCGCCATCATCAATCATCATCAACAGCCTTTAATAGTCCACTGCTGGACATAGGCCTCTCCTTAGAAAGGAGGTTTTGGCCTACTTTGCCACACTGGCCAGACGGGTTGGTAAGGGTGTTTTGTGGCAAGTGGTGCGTTTGCGCCCTTAGTCGGCTCTTACTTCACCCACGGGATGAATTGGGGTAGTGACATTCCGTATTCTTAATCAGTCACTACACGGACAGCCGCCATGGAACGATCCATATCAGGGATACGGAAGAGAGACAAAATACGCCACACCAAGAAAAGAGACAGAACAAAACACAATTTCACTTTCACTCTATTTCACTCTATCAAATGAAAGTGGAAATGGGCAGGACGAAGCGTGCAGTCGCCTTATGGAAAGGACCAAAAGGAAAAAGAAAAAAAGGCACGCCGAAGGTGCAACAAAGACATCAAAGACATAATAATAATAATAAAACCTTTTTATTTCCCATCACCTGAGTATTACATGTAAGTATATATAATTTCACTTATGACTATTCACTTAACTATTGTTTCATATTATTTACTGCATTTGCGCTTAGATAGGAACCCCTGTTTGGGTATAGGCTTCCTCCAGTTTAATCCAGTTTTCTCTGTCTTTCGCTTGCTTAATCCACTCCTTGCTGGCTGTAGCTATGATATCGTCGCACCATCGCTTCATAGGTCTTCCTCTCCGCCTTTTTCCGTTTGACCCTTTCCATCTCCTTACTTCTACTGTCCATCGCTTATCATTGTAACGTGTAACATGGCCAGCCCATCGGCACTTTAAACATAGACAGTAGTACAGGACGTCTGTTAGGTTTGTCTTCTTTCGTATGGATTCGCTTATTTTTTGTATTTTCCTTATTTTTAAAAGGCTCCTTCCCATCGCATTCTGACAACTCACTCGTTTTGTTTTTGTTTTAGCGTTATAGGTTCTGGCCTGGCATCCATACGTGAGAGTCGGCAGAACGCATGTATCCATCACAATTTTTTTAAGGTGGAACGGATAGTCACCTTTCATAATTTCTTTAAGGGACCAGTATTTTTTCCAGCTCATATTTATTCGGATTTCTATATCGACTTCTACGTTTCTGTCTTGGAAAGATATTTCTTTTCCTAGATATATGAATTTATTTACGTATTCCAGTTTTATTGTCAGTCTCCTTCGAGTTTTATTGTATTCGAGTAGCTGTTTGTCATTAGTTTTAGTGACCTACTTTTGCACTTTGTTCGTTTAGTTAGTTTATCATTTTATCCAGGTTTCTGCTGGTTTCAGTGAAGAGGACTATGTCATCTGCGAACCTGAGGTGACTTAGGTGTCGGTTGCCGATTTTAATACCTTCATTTTCCCATTGCAGGCCCTCGAAGATGTTTTGCAGTAATGCTATAAAAATCTTGGGGGATAGAGGATCTCCTTGTCTAACTCCGCGTAGAATTGGTATTTCCGGTCCTCGTTTCTCTAGTTTCACACGGCTGGTGCTATTGTCATTTTCCTTTTTCAGGATGTTATAATACTTAAAGTGGAGGCGGCATTTATTTAGTGCCTCCGATATTGCATCATGTGATATTGTATCAAATGCTTTGGCGTAGTCGACGAAGGCTAAATATAACGGTCTGTTGAATTCGTTGTATTTTTCCATTGTTTTTGCATTACATGGATATTATCTATTTTTGAGAAACCTGCCCGGATTAAGAAACTTAAATCAGAAAAAGTCCAGGACCAGACTGTGTACCAAATGAGGCTTTAAAACTTGGAATTACCTGCTAGCATATCCACTCTCCCGCCTATTTAACAAGGTTATTACAACTGGACAAGAACCTGAACAATGGAAAAAATCTGTTATAATCTTATTGTACAAAAGGGTGATCCTCAAGATATCGGTAAGTAACGGCCAATCAGCCTTCTTCCTAGCGTTTATAAACTGTTTACCTCTGCAAAGTGGAATCAGTATCAAGATAGAAAATCTTCAACCTATAGAACAAGCGGGGTTCCGGACAGACATCATAGATATAGCAGGAGATAAATCTAAATCAAAGGCGGAAGACAGAAAAGAAAGGTCAAAAATGGAGGAGGCCTTTACCCTACAGAGGATTATCATATTTAAATAAATAAAAAATAATAATTAATTAATCATTCTATATAATAAAAATATTACAGTTTCATCAATATCATAATCAATACTACAAATCTATAATATAACAAGAGAATCATAAAAATCAAAATAAACCGAATATATATTTTTTTGTAAATTTGATGATTATTTTAATTAATACATTTGATGAGTTACTGTTATTGCATGTAAATAAATATTGTATAACTACATGAAAATGAGAAACAATAAAAGGCTTATTTATTTATTTATTTTTAATTTTGTAAATTGTGATGTACCTTGTATATGTTTTATATATCTAGTGTAGTTACAAGAAAAATATGCAAGAAAAATATTAGGTAATATAAACATTACAGTACATAGTGTTTTACACTAACTGAAGCCGAGGGTCTATGTTAGCTCAATAAAGAATTAATTCAATGTAATCCTAATGAAAGACCAACCTGAGCTACCTGACCTACGCAAATTTATGCATTCAAAATAACATGATTTAGCTTTTTTTATTATATATTTAAGCTCGTTTAGCATGTTTTGCAGCATTTTCAGCATGAAGACTCTCACGCCACTTAGTAACTTATTGTGCTTGGCACCACTTGCTATTATAATTGATTGCTATTATATTGTTACCCGTTATATTGAGAATCGCACTTATTTTGTTTTTTCATTTAGATTTGTAATTATTTTTAGTGCTCTTTGTTAGTACTGTTTGAACTCGGTTAAACTTTTTAGGGTTCCGTATCTAAAAAGGTAAAAAAGGAACCCTTATAAGATCACTTTCTTGTCCGTGTGTCGACCACCGATTTTCTCAGGAACAGGTAGATCTAGCAAGTTGAAATTTATACCAGATACTAAGGTCTATGGTCCCTATTAGGTGTATAAAAATCATGGTCCTGAGTCAACAAGATAAAAAGATATGGGCACATTTCGATGTTCGTGAAAACTTGTAAGTCCCAAAATTTACCCTAATTATCAACTTTTTTATTTTTCAGAATTTTCTCTTTACTAATGCTGTAAGACCTTGCTTTTAACCAAAATTGACAATTCTACGTCAGCCGGAAATACCCCATAGGTTTTGGGACGAAAACCTATATCTTAGTTCCAGTTGACCTAGAATCACGAAATTTGGCATAAAGAAACGTCTTACAGCACAAATAAAGGAATAATTCCAAAAAATAAAAAAAAGTTGATAATTAACATAAATTTTGGTACTTACAAATTTTCGCGAAAATCTACGTAAAATCTGGGTAGGTACGGAACCCTCGGCGCAGGATTTCGACTCGTACTTGACCGGTTTTTTTTTTAAAAGGATTTATGTCTTTAAAGTTTTTATTTACCACCTCCAATTAAATTATTTTACAACATTTCAAATTTTAGTTATTTAGTCAGATTTAGTTTTTGTAGTCTTCCTTTAATAACTCTGCACCTCTTTCACCGATCATCATTGCGGGTCCATTTGTGTTAGCACCTACAATAGTAGGCATTACACTTGCATCAATAACACGAAGATTTTTAACACCATGTACTCTTAGCCTGCTATCCACTACTGAAACTCTTATATTACTTCCCATGGCACAAGTTCCCACTGGATGGTATACAGTTTGTACAGTATTTAAAGAAATACATCGCCAATAGTCTTTGCTGTCTAAGTCATATTTATTACATTCTTGCACGTTCATTCTGGCTAAAAATGCACCAATCGATTTGAAGTACTTAGTTTGCAATACGCGAGTTAACTTCTGAATACCATTCACTGTTGATTCTAAATCAAAGGGGTTTTTAAAATAATTCGGGTAAATATACGGATGATCCTCTGGGCTTTTGGTACGTAAAGTTATATTTCCTCTCGTTGTTGGATGTAGTAAAATAAACCAAAAAATGAACATCGTATAATTCTTATTTAGATCTACGAGTGGTTTTGCCACACGGTCTTTGAGTCTATAAAGCTTCGTCATTATGTCTTTGAAGTCAGATTGGTTTTTCCAAGCAAGTAAAAGTTGACTTTGATAATCTGGATAAGTAGCATTACTAGTTGCAGAATAAAACGCTACAATATCTGAATCCGAATTTTGTGCTAAGTGTCCCGTACGGTTATAGAGATATTTTATGACGCCGAGATTCTGGTCCTTAAGAGACTCTGGATTGGATTCATTGTTGCAAATCGGAATAAGTACAATTAAGTGATCCTGTAGGTTTTGTCCTACCCTTGGTGAGTGAACTACCTGCTTAATTTTCTTTGAGGCCAACTGATCACGGTTGCCAACTCCTGACAACATCATTAGTTGAGGTGAATTTATGCTTCCGGCACTTATTATGACTTCTTTGGTGGCATAATACTTGTACATTTCTGATCCACGTTTTACTTTAACACCGTAAGCAACTTTAGATGGGTTTTTTATCAAGACTTTCGTCACTAAACTATTTTTCAAAAATTTTCAGTTTTTTCTATTTTGCACAGGATGTAAAAATGCCCTACTTGAGCTTTGTCGCACCCCATTGGCAGCTGTAGCTGTTACTATGCTTGAGCCCATGACGTTGGCAGCATTTACGTCAGGTACATTCTTGATACCAATATCATCCCATGATCTGAGAATTTTTTCAGTAACTGGTCTATATGTCGCATTAAAAATATTAAGAGCAAGTGGACCATTACGACCGTAATGTTTGGAAATGGCTTGATCTTGTAACAGACGCTGGTTTTGGTAGCTTTGACTTTTTCTAAAGCATCGTCGAACATCTCGTACACTCCATTCCAAATTTCCAGCATTATACCAATTTTGATAATCTTGGTCATTACCTTCTACATAAACCATACCGTTGATGTTACTAGAGCCCCCGATCATTTTTCCTCTTGGCCAATTTATTGAGCCGTTTATAACACTTTGATCTATAACTCCATCATTTGTACTTAAATATTGCCAATCGTATTTTGAAAGACTCACATCTCTATATAATTCTGGAACCTGCGAAATATGTAAGCATTAATTTTAAGTCTGAAAGCTCTTGCTTATTTAGACTTATTATGGATTGTTTACTATGGTATAATAGCACAATACATTTTAAGACTACCACGCAGGAGTATACTGCTGCGTGGTAGTCTTAAAGAAGAATAATGTCCTTCAATATATTGAAGGACATTATTCTTATTCGATTCTTATTCGTAGTTTACTCAATTAGTCAGCTCTTACGCCATCCACGCGGTGGAATAAGGGTGGTGACACTCTATTCTTAATCCGTCACCACACGGATACATACTACACAGTAAATAGCAAGAATTTATTTCACAAAAAAAAAAAAAACTGGTATAATATATAGGTAATACATGTAAACTCGGTAACAACATTTAGCTTTACACTACGTACGAAGAACGATTAAACTTCTAAGGAGAGTGACTACGGTCACTCCGGGATGTGCCGTAGTCATGGGTCATCCAGAAACTACCGATGCGATCTTCTAGCTACTCTCGACTGCCCAGGTAGGCCGTCGCGGGGTTTAGTGGGTAGACCGGTTCTCAGGGAGTCACCCTCATGCCCGCCGTATCTCCAACGGAGGGTATGATGCGAAAACATTCCTTACTTAAAAAAAAGGTTGACCCAAATTTTGTGTTCAGTCTATTCAGTAAGTAGGCAGGTATGTATTGAAGGTACGTCCCCGTATAGGTGGAAAAAAAATCTTACGCTGGCTTCAATAGGCGGATCACCTCCAGCTTCCAAAAGTAAAATGTTCCATTCCTTTATTTCACTCAATCTATTTGCTATAACACTTCCTGCCGACCCCGCTCCTACTATTATAAAATCAAAATATGTTTCGTCTGAAAAAAAAAATTTAAGTCAGTCAACACGTACTTTGCTACTGTAAAAACATTGTAAAAATGTGTTCGGCTGTATAACGCAGAAACTAAAAATAAAAAAAAGTCATCATTAGGAATATGTTTTAAATCTAATTCCTAGTTAAAAGTATTATGAATACTGCACTTGGTACTTTTGCTAGCACCTAATATTCCGGATGGACTACTATGGGGGATGAGTCGCCACTGGACTGCGTAGAACATTCTTTAAAAAATACCCCAAGTCCCGGGATTTGCGTTTTGTTTTTTTTTAATAGTGCGTTACTAGACGATCTATGGCTGATGGGTTTGCCAACATGCATGGAGATCCAATAATAAGGTATTGCCAAGCAAACGTAGGTAACTGTTCTAGTGAAAGAGATAGTGACTCTAGTGAAACAAGTGAGAGTGACACCTGTGTGCCAGTAACGTTTCGGCGATAGTGATGTGTATAATTGTGACAGTGACATTAGCGACAGCGACGCTTTTGTGATAGTGACGTATGTGCCTGTGTTTTGGTGTGACCTCCGCCGCCGCTGCAGTGAGCACTATCTTGGGTGTGTGCCACCACAGTTTTGGGTTTCATCGACGATACACTCGTCGTCGTGTATTTTGCCGACGTCCGGACATAAAGGTGCGGGCGTAGAAGTGTAGGTATCCCATCGATGACATCGAGTTCTACATCATTGTACCTTAAGGCGCTCTTGCAGCGCGGTGTGTAGGTGTGCAAACATTACCTCACCCCCGCTAAAATATCGTACCTATCGTATGCAAAGACGCAGCGTGTCAAAAAGCTGCGCGAGTCGGCTGCGCGCCACTCAAAGTTACGTCCATATATTGTGCCACAGTGTAGTGTACTCATAATGCAGTAGTTAGAAAAGAATATCATGTTTGACGTATATAATTCTAATTGGCTTTTGCACTTTTAAACTTTTGTTATTCACTTGTGTGTTAGCTTTCTACTAAAATAGGTATACACGAAATTAAAAAAATATTGGAACTAAATGACCGTTTAAACAGGAGAACTAAGGTTTATTAGTTATAGGATATTAGGTCATTACTTCCTATATATATAATTTGTTTACTCAAAATCTCATAAACAATGATGTTTTTTTAATACCTTATTCTACAAATTTCTCTTACTTCATGAGTCTATCAGCAGATTGGGTACCATAATACAGGCTTTAATTAATAATACACACAACATAAGTTGAAAAATTCACATAACTTTAATAAAAGATGATGATTGAGGGGGAGGTTTTATTCTAAACTTTGTTAAGTTCTATATCAATCATGTCAAAGCGCAATAGACAAGCGGGCTTTCCTATTCGCACAGCATAGTTAGCTTACAATAATGCGTTTCGTTACAGTGCTGTTTGAAGAGAAGAGACCTTATTTACCAACATACTTAAATTGGTTCTATCAATATATAATAATTAATATTTCGCTTTCTATTTCAAAGATAATTTCAAAATTTAGTGTACTGTATAATATTAGTGTCAGATACACTCGGAACTGAAGCGTATGTTAAAGAGCCTGATGATGCTTCATTTTCTTTTCCTGAGGTAAAAATATGTTTCGGATTGGCATGCCAGGCGTGTGCCTTGGGTCAACCAATTCCGGCAGTAAGCAGGTCAAATAAAATTGAACCAACCTTGGTTTCATTTTTTCTTTTCAGAATTCGTCGTCTTTTTCAATATATTGTATAAACACTGGTTCATTTTATACCCACAAACCAAAAAGACATTTTTAATGGCCTGTGACATGTAACTGACCTTGAATTTGATGAAACCAGTTATCGATTTTTTTTACAGCGGATCAGCTGCATTTTATTATTTTCTAGGGCTTGCTGCAATTCTTCTTTGGCAGCACCTAATGAGCATTTCACTTCAACCAACATATCATTCCCAATCAAGCCATCAGGTGTAGCTCCAATAAATGGGTATTGCTTATCAATAAAAAGTCCATATGCTTAAATTTTCAATTGGTTTTCTTGCTGAATTTGTTGTATGGCTTGCTTTTCATTTTCAATCCCATGAGCTACCGAGGTTACTTGCGACAAATTGTTTTTGTACAAAATATTTGAAGAAGATGTATCCGTAGAGGGTTTTCTTTTGCAAATATTTCCATACTCGAAGCTGTTATTTTTTTTCTTATTTCAAGCCACTCACTCGAGTCCCTTTGTAGGACGGTCGATGACCATAGTCGTGCTATAGGTCGTTATTAGCGTTTTGAAATCTACGTATCTTTTTTACTGGATGTTCCAAATCCAATTTACGTTTATGGGCCCTTTTTTTTCGATGTACTTCAAAACTCTCCTTGAAGGACTTCTATTTAACATTTTCTTTTGCTCAGCTGAAACGGCGGAATTCCCGATAAAAGATACGACTGCTGCTGCACATCTTCCTTGGTACAATATGATAAAATATGATTGGGAAATTATATTTTTTCAACAGTCAAATTCTGTGTTTTGTAGGGTTTCACCTTTAAAATTTTAGCATATGTGGAAGAGTCACCATTTGCTATAAGTCTTTGGTATATTACTCCGTACATAGCAATAGATGTTTTAAAACCCCCCGCAATTATATCTGCTTCCATAGAGGTAGATGACCATCATAGTTTTTGAAGCATTTATGTTCTGGAGGCGCTATGTTATTTTTACTAACCCGGCTACAAACCAAACAGTATTAATTTTTTACACCAATGTACTAGACCGCACCTGTTTTTCTGCCAATAATAGCAGCAGCGCCAGAAAGGACCTTAAAATTGGTGCCATAAGAGCGCGCACTCCATGCTCCATCGGCACACACATCGATCACTGGATATCCACCTTTAGTTCGACTTTCGGATACG